AAGGGACACTTGTGGAGCTGTGCCCAGCCATTCCCCTGGCCAGGACCCCGGGTTAGACACAGCTCACAGCTCAGCAGCCCTGCCCCAGGTACAAGGGTAGGAGCTGCAGCCTGGGACATGACTCAGGGAGCTCTGATGATGACACATGCTGGCTGCAGTCTAATCCTGCATCTCCACCCCTCCTGATGGTCATGTGTACCCTTGGGGATTCTCTGTGCTCCTGCTCCTTCAGCCAGGTCCATTGTGGCTGGATGAGGTGAGGTCTGACATGTCGAGGCTGGAGGAGATCAGAAGTTCTGACTCATCTAAACTCCACCCAAAATGACTTACTTTGCTTTACACCTGTATGTATATGCTGAATTTTAAACCCTGTGAGTAGTACTGTTTAATTCCCCCAATATGCAAGTTCTGCTTAGAGTGATGTATTATTTATTTAGGTTTGTAACAACACACAGGGAAAAAAAGGAATAAATTATTAATATATGGATTACCTTATACATTTCAGCTCACAGTTGAGAGAGATGGCAGAGAGCAACCCTCAATTTAAGTTCCTTAAGACAATTGCTTTTCTTTCTTCCTCCAAAACCCCAAGCAGTGATAAAGGTTCTGCAATTTATCACTTAGCATTGCACTAAGAAGCCACCTGGACCTGAAATTAATTTGTGTTTAAGATCAGTGGCAGACTGGCCACAGATTTACACTCATTTGAATGATAGCTTTTTAGGTAAGATGTTTTCTATAGTTGTAATTACAGTTTTTTTGGTCCAAGTTACAACTGGCTCAGTTTGTTTCTCACTTTCTTCAGCATTTCCAAGTTTTCTGGTACCACAGCTCACGTGCCAGCCTTGCCTAGTATGCAGCAATTCGAGGACATGTCATAGAGAGGAAATTTTACATGCCAATTATTTGTAAAATATGTACTCCATCGGAGATTTTAGCCACCATCTTATTCTTTAAATGGAAAAGCCTGAGATTCAGGTGAAATAAATAAGAAAAAAGCATATCCTTGAATAATGAAATACAATGACAGCTGGAAGTGCTTGAAACATTTGAATGCCTTTATGGTAGTTTAACCAACTGTGTCCATAAATATTTAAAGAAGTGAATTATTTCTTGAAATTTACATTTTTATGTACCATTTTGGTGGAAGAAGTATTGAACAATAAAGATGCTTTCCATAATAATCTCAGCTTTCAAAATATAGCACTTGACTGTGAAAAGATTTGCCAGTGGCCATCATATGATTCACTGAGCTCCCAGTATAATACTGAGCTTTGATAGTTCCTAACTCCAAATTAAGGCTTATAACAGCACTAGGTAACCTAGATCCCATCTGTGTTTCTGTGCTTCTGAAATGAAAAATGAGAAAAGAACTGTGCAGCAGCTACTGTTACCTTTCAGCCCTGTGTCTCTGTGTACATGTATATATCTGACTGGTAAGAGTTTGTGTTTTCAGTATGGATCAATGTGAATAAATTGGCCATTTAAATCCTGCTGTAGCTGTTATAAAAGGTCACTGCACTGAAACTGTACTGGTTTGTTTTTCAGTCCATGATAAGGTCACCACCCTATAGGTAACTACAGCCACCAGCTACATTCGTGCTCTGCCTTCTGTCCATGTCTTGTGTCAGGCTGTAGGAGCAAAAAGGTGGAGTAGTGAATATGCTGTTATGAGACACCATAATTTGTGCCACTGAGCTTGCTTCATGGAGGTACATTTGCAGCAGGTAGTTATTGACAGTATAAAATCATCCAAGTGGCTGGGCCAGTCAGCAAATGTGTCAGTAATGGGCTGAGACCTGGGAGGGGAACTCTGCATTTCTGGAGCTGTCCTGGGCGCATCAGAATTGAGGTGCTCTTTCAGTCAAGCAAGAACTAGCAAAGTAATTTATTTTTTTTAATTGAATTTGAATATGATTCCCATTGACATTTATTAAGGAAGCTGAAATTATTATAAAGTCGTCCCCAAAATATTTGAGTAAAAGTGAGGTAATAATTTTTTTCATTTTTTTTATGTGTTCACTAGCAAGCAGGAAAGAAATATTACAGAAAACTATATAAAAAATTGACATGTTGTTTTACTGTCTGTGTATCAACATTACTGATAGTGATCACCAAATAATAATGATTCAGGCTCTGTGATGGGTTACACAACATTATAAACTGATTCAATCTGCTTTTCATTTTTAGGAAATATTAGTTTTCAGATAAACTGTGAACTGAAAATCCCCAAGAAAGGATAGTGGAATGTAAATTTACAAAGTCTAGACAGCCAGCTGAAAACTGATTTTCTACACCTTATGAAGAACAAGACCATAAACCAAATCTTTATTTAGTCTAAATATTTCCATAGTTTCCAGCTGGTTGCAGAGAAATGCTGTGCTTTGATTCAGCTGATAATAAAACTAAGAATGTGCAAATCATTTTTATCAGGCAACAAGTACAAATGCATCTCTGTTAAATAAACTGAAGTGGATAAATCCTTAGCTCTGCACTCAGCCAGAGCATTTCCACTGTAACAAGGGCTGACTACATGAGTGGGTGACATTTCAAAGGGTGGTGTTCAAGTAGTGTCAGTGGGGCACACACAGAGAAGGTTTACACTAATGCAATCACAGCATTTCCAGGAGCAGCTGAATTACACAGTAAATTAACTCTATTGAATGATGCACTAAGTTGTTGGGGTATTCACAGGGCCCAATTCTGACTTTTAAAAAACATATTCTTGTCTTTTGTCTTTCTCTTTGTTTTGCTGGAAAGAATAAGCTGCAATCTAGACAGCATCCTGTATTGGTGGAAAAGAAATTTGTGTGCATATCCAAAGAATTTTGTAACTTTGTTCATAGCCTTCCTTCCCCAGACAAGTAATAGCTTAAAAAAGTGAATGTTTTTGGTATAAAGAATAAAATCAGATATAACTGTATGTCTCTGTTACATGAAAAAATACATTGCTATTTTTGATAGCTCAATGCTCAGAAAAAAATATAAGAGCCTTTTTGTTGATAACTGAAACAGTTCAAATCTAGCAATAGTTTGGGCTCTCCACCTCTTTGCACAGCTCTTTGTATTAGAAAGTCTCTCTATGCAGTCACAGGCAGAGCTGTGTTACAGACATCTTGTAGCAAAGGTCCCTGAAAGGTAGATGTCATGTTATATTGATGCAGACTGTTATTCAACCTTGTACCCTGCTGGGGTTACCAACTAGGAAAAACAAACAGTTTGGATTTTCATTGCAGTGTCTTTTTGCATACATTAAAGTAGGTAAGTGACCTAGAAGTTCATGGAAGAGGTTTGATTTTTGAAGGTCTTTGTCACATGAAGTGTCTCTGAATTTTATTTATGATTCCTAAACTGGGGTTGTTTGATCATTTTCTCATGAAGTGTTACTACTTGAAGGTTGTGGTAAGATATCCTTAACATTAATTTTTACTGTTAACTGATAGTCATTCACGTTCATTGAGGAAACTCCAGGCTGACTGTGTTGTTACTCATTAAGTTCATCTGCAGACTGGAATGTCAGAGAACCCAAAACAACGTGAGATTTTGTCCCTGTTGGGCACAAGTGGGGTCTCTACCTACTACAGATATCTGGTAGTGCATCTTTCACTGCTGTAGCATAGGCAGCAGTGTGGGGGGTTTTGAGCCACTGGCAAATCAAAGCAGTTTGAATGTGGTTCTTTTTCTGGACTGTGTCATCTGAGTGGAAATTCCTGTTGGATATTCCTGGCCAGGGGGATATCCAGGAGAGGAAGTGGCTGCTCCGACTGACAGTCCTGCACAGCCAGGCCACTTCCATTTGGCACAGGTCCCCTGGGGAGCTGTTGGCATCTCCTGCCTGTGAGTTGCTTCTGGCATTTTCTCTATGCTTGGCTCTCTCAAATCTTCTCATGTCCCTTGTAGCAACAAAAAGTTTTTGAGATAGGGCTCAAGGGAAGATTGTTGTCTCTATCAAATATGGATTCCAAGCCTGTAGATACATACAGAAGTTAGATACATACAGAAATTAAAGGTACATCAGGGGGTTGATTAATAAACCCGTGTGACTAGAACTTGCATCCTTACATGAGAGTATCATGTAAGGATGTCTGTGGGTTTAAATACAAAGTATAAAATTCAAATCTCAGGGGTTTGTTTTTTTTTTTTTCAAAAAGAGGTAAATGGCAAACTTTGAATAACTGACTAGCTCTTACAAGTAAAGAGCAATCTAATGTTTCTTCTGTATCTAGTTTTCCATGTGAATCTTTAACAGCTACAGAAGTTAAAGAACAGGAATGAACTGATCCTCCTGTATTGCTCAACGTGCAAGAAAAGAAATTAGGGTCTTGAGAAGAGAACAGAAAATCACCAGCCATGAAGAAAGCAGACATCACTGCTTCATTGAAAAAATCATTCTGTTGTGTTTTGAATTTCTCCTTTTTACATTAACTCATGGAGTTGCAAGCAGAAAGTAATTTTCTGACTCCAAGGATTTTCCAACCAAGTGAAATTTCATTTCCTAGGTTATGGAGCTGGGCACACCCAAAATGTATTTTTGGTCTTTTGTTTTGTGGGTTGTATGCTTTTGTTAGAGCTTCCAAGGAATACAGATATGTAGCTTGCACAGTATTGCCTTAGGAGAGAGCTTCCTTAGAAAGTGCCTGAAGAAGAACTTGTTCCCAAACAAATGACAGCTGAAAAGAATCCAAGTATTTCTATAAATTTTTAATAAACCACAATTTGGTAGGATACTATTTTCAAAATTATTTTCGTGGCATATAAAAGTTGCAACAGAAAAGTTACATTTTATCCATCTGCTGCATGGTGTATGGTTTCAATAATTAAAAACTGTATTGAAACCTACGTAAACTACTGGGTTTTGGCCTAGATGGTAAAATAATGCTATAAATTGTTCTTAAAAGATTTATGATTGCTATATATGGAGTATTGTGCAAAAGACTGTTACGTGATGTGGATGATTAGCAGACACTCTGTAACAAAATGTTCACTTGTGTATTTCATAGAACCACTAGATGAGCTGAAGATCAGAAGTCACAGCACTGAACCACTACCAAAGCTGGAAAACAAAGAGAGAGGATATCATGGGACAACTTCCTCTAGGGAGCCAGGGAAAGCTCAGGAATGGGATGGAACGCCGGGCCCGCCTGTGGTGTCCAGCAGGCTGGGGAGATCCTCTGTCAGCCCAACCATGTTGGCTGGAAGCAACAGCTCAGGTAAGTCACGTGGCAGAGCCAGGAAGATCAAATGAATCTCCCTGTGAGATGGAGGATCTCTAAAGATACACAGATGTAGATAAGTATCCAGATTCTTTAGACTTCCAACTATCTTCTAGGATCTGCCCTGCCCATTGACTGCTGTACTAGTAAGCCTCGTGCTGTCTGCCTGTGCTCTGTGCTGGAACAGATTGGGATGGTGGCAGGTAATACAAGCACGTAAACATGCAGTTCATCTACTTTGAAAGAAGTAAGGAATTCCATGTGACATTGAAAGGGGACACTATGACTAAGTCACCCCAGGATGGCACCTCAGAAAGAAGTTTGTAAATTCAGGTATCACAGAGAGTAACAAAAATACACTATGCAGAAGCAAGGCTGTCTTAGTGATGGGCACAGTGACTGGACACAGGCAACTTTTGACTTATGTTGGTACAAGAAATTTCCAGAAAAGTGACTATGGGTTTCAGAAGTCTCAAATTCACACCTATCCATTTTATTAATCAAAATTTTATATGTATTAAATAGTAAATTGCCATAAACCATGGCATTATGATGCAGCCTTGTTTATAAATTGACAAGACAAACAGAACTGATGCGTGAATGGACATCTATAAACAGATATCTATGGCTCTTGCATGAGTACCACATTGTTACTTTTGAGATTTGACAGCTCTCATAAATGAGTAACTTCACTGCTTATTAGTTGGATTGGGAAAAATATCCACTTTAAAAACAGTTGGTATATATAGTACTGAAGCCTCATGGTCAATGTTCAGTAAGCATGAGAGCACGAATGAGCTACTCAAACAAGAAATCATTCCTGCAAGAGGGATCTGCTGGGCAGTGAGTGGCAGAGATGAGTCTTTAAACTGCTGAGCCAGCAGAGATACTCATGCCTCACCCAGAGCATCGCTTCCCTCTGTGATAATGGGACTTACATTGTCTCTGAATTGTTGAAAATGACACCTGAAACTCAGTGCATAACTTGAATAGTCTTTGCTGATGTGACATATCATTTGCAGCAATCATGTAGTCCAGCTTTTCTTGCTACAGACCCTGCAGATAATCCTTCCTGGGGCAGCAAATGTGACTTTTCTGCTAATCTTATGACTCTAGCACAGGTTCTTTGGGTATTACTGCCATTTTCTTACTTGTCTGTTCTCAAAAAGACTTCTGGTAGGTAGGAATTTTCCAGATTAGCTCATAGCTTTTGGTAAAAATTTTGTTCCCAGTGTATTAGAGAGTCTGTGCTAATGCAGGTAGAAGGGTGGGTTTAAAAGCTACCACATCAAAGTATTGGGACATTCAATAATTAGACAAAAGGTGTGTAACAACCCTCTCAGTTCTACGAGATGACAGTATGGAGCAGAGTAGTAAAGAAGTTAAAATTAAAGAGTAAGTTCTTAGCAAAATATTACACTGCTGTCCAACCTTTCTGCAGCAGTTTTATTTCAAAGAGTTGGTTGATCTCCAAAAACAGACAAAACATGTTGGCCTCAGCCTTCATTTGGCATCAGAAAACTATAATAGTTGTTGAATCATGCCTTGATTTAGTCAACTGTGACTTTGTCTTACATTGCTAGGACTGTCAGAGAAAAAAATATATTTTCTTGGCTGAATTTTGACTCCTTTTTATGATTAAAATCTGAAAGCTGATTATGACTTTTCTTTCCCTGCAGTTTTATGCTATTTCATTTGATGAATATTGCCTCTCATCTACCCTGAATATTTTTCCCCTGTGTCTCTTGCTGTTGCCTGAGCAACATGTTTTACCTTTAATCAGTGGGGCATTGCATTCAAAGTGTACACAGTTCTCCTCAGTGAACTTGTACATGAGCTATAACAGTTCATTCTTTGCAATTAAATTAGAACTGTAACAGAATGCAAGAAGAGAGATTTAATACATCTGTATGAATACAAATGCGTTTTGGAGTCAAGGAGATAAAGTAATTCTGCGCTAGGAATTAGAGCTTAGATTTACCACAGGACCGTAAAAAATCAAGGTAGGCCCCAGTACAGTCATCATTGCTGTTGCTCTCTTTCCAACATCATAGATAACAGAAAAAAAGCTACTTTTTTTTTTTTTTTTTTTTTTTTTTGTGCAGACATGTCCTTGAAATACCACAGTTTGCTGCCTGCCTCCTAGTTCACACTGGTACAGGCATTTACTGGGGCAGTGTTGGAATAAACTAAAGAAAATGGGGTTGAATTACTCCACTGTAAAGCAGAAAGTGTGAAAGGACTTCTCAAGTGTGCTCATCAGGCAGCTTTGCTGAGGCACAGATGAACTGGGAATTGGGGTGGCCTGAACAAATCCCTGAGTGGCAACACTGATTTTTTGTAGGTTCTCCCCATCTCTGAAACTGCTAGTAAGATAAGAGGGAGAATGAGCCCTCTCCAAACAGAATCTTGAACTTTCTGTCCATTTTGTTCAAAGAGCCTGGACTGTCAGCTGCACACAGGTATCATTGTGCCTGATTGCTCTGCGACATCATTTGTCAAGGCCACTTTCTGTTTCTTGGCATCCTATCATTTCTCATGGAAAGCAATGTGATTTGGGGGCATGCTGACATTTAGGAAACTCAGTGCAATTGTAGTGAACAGCCAAATGGAATCTGTAAAACAGAAAGTTGTACAGTTTCACTCCAGGAGAATTGAAGAGTATTTTCTGGAACGTTACTGCTTTTTTCCTGACTGCAACCATGAAGCATTTTACATTGCCACCTGCTGCTGGAGACAGGCACTGCCTTGCCTTTTAAACCTCAGATACTCTGTTGTGTCCTGTTTTTGAAGCACCACCAGCTTGTCACTCAGCCAGCCATTAGTATCCCACCTGAAAGCACTGTAGATAATCAGGAAGGGAGTAAATGCCCACCCTTCATTGGAATTACTGGCTATCACTTTGGATTTGCAAAAGTAATGAAAATTTAAGTTCAGCTCTTTGGGAGCGGAGCAATGCCTGGGAAGCCCAAGGTGCAAGTTGCATCCATAGGTACAGGAAGGGAGTAGCAGCAAAATACCAGTTCATTCCAGCTAGGTCTGCTTCATGTAGAGATGACTGAGTGCTCCCACCAACCCTAAATTTTCTCCTTACCTGCAATATCAGAGTATCACTGTGCTCCTAAATCCACAAGGATTCTCCAAGTGAAGACAACTTAATGCTGGAGGTCTATGTTACTGGACAGCCTGCTTGGTGAGGTCCAGACCTTGCCTGTGATGGTCATTCGTGTTCTCTGCACACAAATCTTCCCAAGCAGTGCCTGTTACCTAAAATAAAAGGAGTAGTACTGGGAGCTGTACACTGAGGGCATCTAGCCAATGCCCACAATCCAGGTGTGTGACCTCCAGGCTGTGGGATCACGTAGATCCTGACTGGAGTAAAACTGTTATCTAGATGTGACAAAAACACACATAAAAAACCTGAACAAAAATGCCTGACACTTACTTGTGTTACAAAGCAGCCAGGAAATACCAAACAAACACAGCCAAATCCTACAACAAAAACTTTACAAAGAAAATAAACACTCATACTCAGGATACAAAGTATATTCCACTAATAGCTTTTCCCTCTGGGCAAAGTATCCTCAAAACTTATATAGAAGGTTCCTTTCAGGCATGGTTTTACTCATTACGTGACTTGGTTTTGAGACTTGCTAAGCTTTTGACCTATGGATATATCTGGTAACACTGAGGTCCACAGGTTCAGAGCTCCCTTTGTGAAAACATTTCAGTTTGATGTGCTGCTGTGCTATTTCAGCACTAATTGGCTTCTGCAGGTGAAGTCCTAAATACTTTTTTTTTTTTTTAAAGTAACAGGATACTATGTAGTTTATTCCACCATAATGTTTCTTAATTTCAAATAATGTTTCAGCTTACTCATCTCTTTTTAGAAAACCAACATGGCTAGGCCAGTATGAAGATAATAGTGTGATTCATTTTTCCAGTATGCATGTTTTCTTTTTCTTCTTTTTTTCTTTTTTTTTAGCATGTGATTGCTCTCAGCCTGTCACATCGCCTTGTTTAATTCAAAACGCATTTCTTGGCAGCTGTAGCAAATAAGCAATATTTCTCTTTTCATGTGCAAAGAAGAGACTGTGACAGGATAAGAAGCTTCTCCAATGTAAGTGACAGCCAGAGTATTTTTTTGAATTAAGATTAGGATAGGCAGAATGAAGGCTTCCTTGGATGAAAATGAACTCTTCCCATTAAGATCCAAAAATAAAAATCATGCAGAGTTGTTGTACTTCTGGAGAATATAGAAAACCATAGCACATTGGTATTAAAATTATTGAAAATATTTCCATAAATCTTGTCGCATTTCAGCACTGTGCTTTGTTGAGGAAAATCCTACAACACCCCCTGTCTCAAATGCAGCCAGCCAAGCCTCTACATCTTTAGTAATGATGACAGCACTTGCACTTTTGGAAAACAGGCCATTTATGTGAGTGCTTAAATACATGATTAAGAACACAACTTTAAGGCAATCCTATCTGTGACTGGAAAACCTGTATTTCTGTGTTGGAGAGTCTCTCCTAAAATTCTCATCCTTAATGCTGCCCTTTGGATGTGTCCACTTGCTTATGTCCATGTGTAATCCCACTGGCGTTGCTGGGACTCAGTTTAAACCTGAGAGTGCAGTAAAGCTCGTCCCACTGCACTGACTACACGTGTGGGGTTGCCTCAAGTGAGGTTCCTGTGGTCCCAGCCACTGGCACGTTGGGAGTGTTGTGGCTACTGTGGGTGACATAATAGGAGACTGAGGCACAGTAGCCCACCATCCTCTACTAGCACTCCACTGCCTCTGCACCTGGCTCCCAGAGGTGAACAGTCCATTTTTCCTATTGTGTCACAGCGTGAGAGATGCGTAACTTGAAGTTGTGCACAATAATACCACCAAAGTTCCATCAGTCAAATATAGCAACTGAATTTGATGAGCATTTTTGTGCATAATGTAACATTTTACAGCTTCTTGGCTACCCCCAACAACCTTCTGAATTCAAACTTCATGCTGCCCATTGATTGCAAGGGACATCTCTAAGGGATGCTCACACGCCCTACATCCCCTGGCCCCACTCCCCAGAAGCACTTAGACGTGTTCCTGTGAGCTCCCTGGCTTGGCACTAGGCTGTCATCCCTTGTCTGCATTGGAGTTGCTTACAGCCGTGTTAGAGCCCCTGGCTGTGGATGCAGAGAGGGTCCAGTGTTTGGAGTGGAGTCCCTGGAGCTCCCTTTCAGGCAGGTTTCATTAGAAAGAGAGGACCCATGTGCACAGTGAAGCTCAGTGCAGAGATGAGGTGCCATGCTAACTTTATCAGGATGGAGCTAGATGGATTTTAACTTGAGTTTCCATGGACCCTGAGCAAATGGGTCCCCTTTTGGACAGATATTTACAGAGCCTTCCCTGTGTGCTTATCAGGATTGCTGATAGAACTCAGCTTCACACCAGGAATTATTGTCACAAAGAGGACTTCTCAAGACTACTCATTTAAGATGTTAATACCGAGCTGTCTCAATATCATTCACAAGAGATAAACATGAATTAAACACTAGAAACCATCCTGAGATTTGTTGGTAGTAGTTGTTCTTCCTTTAAGATTCTCAACAGTAAATAGGAAAACCTATTTTCATTCCAGACTCAGAATTGGTGTCAATATTCAGGCCTTGCAGACAAACTGAAATGACCATTGAAGACTTGAAAACCAAGAGATAAAGATACAGGCCATGATGGGACAGTGGACTTATGTATGTAAGAAGAATTCTTGCTAGTTTTTAGATATCCTGGAGCAGAAGTATTTATTTGAAGTGACCATTACTTAGAAGTGATCAAAACCCAGATAGCCCCAGTACAGTAAACAGCTGCCCATAGCTGAAAAATAACATGCTGCAGAATGCAGAGCAGTGAGTTGTGTTGCATCACTTATGCAACAATTTATGTATTGGTTTTATTCCCCCCAGTAGTGTGCAGTGTGATGTTACTCAGACCACTAACTACAGTAGACTATAGTATTTCTTTGGTCTAAAAATATTGCCAATAGTGATATTAAAAAAATTCCTCCAACTACCCAACTTCTGAACTTTAAAAAAAAAATAAAAGCTAGATGAAGCCACCTCTGAAACACCTTTTGGTGAGAGTCACCATGGAAATCACAATAGTTTCCTTAATACTATAACATATATTAGAGGGAGATAAAGGAAGTTATGCTTCATCTGTGTGTGATAGGTTTTATTTCTTTGATGCCAGATGAAAGGAGTCTCTTTGGCAAGAAAATGGTAATCTCTTGTTGTTGCACATAGGTCCAAATTGGAAATTATGACACTTCTCCCTGCTTTCCTAAAGCAAAGAAAATAATTCACAAGCACAGGCAGACAGTGCCTTGGAGTTTTTTATGTGCTGGGTGTCTGATTCTGCTTGTCACAGCAGAAAAAGAATCTCTATTTAGCAGTACAGAAAAACAACTGAAAAAAGACCCAATTCTTGTCCTCCCTGAAACCCCAGCAAAATTCCAGGAGATGAGAGATGAGATATAATAATGAGATCCATTTTTTTTTAATATATGTTACTGAAAAGAACGGTCAGAAATCTGGCACCCAGACAGTGTGAAATCAGAACAAAAACAAATCTAATCAACCTTCAGAGTAACTGCCCAAGTCCAAAAATAGCAAACCAACAGATTACGTACAAAAGGCAAGGTTACAGACGAGACCAGTCTGCTCCTTTCTGTGCCTGTTGCTGTGTTGTCTCGTGGGATGTTTACAGACTGACTAGGAGTGAGTGGATTGAATAATGCATTCATCGAACAGTATAAATATTTTTGCTGCTCAGCCAGCTGGATGGTAACCAACCTATTAATATTTAGTTGATGAATATTCACCCATACAGATGTTTTCATTGGTCTAAGTGCTCTGGCATAAGTGGATAGCTCTTCTCCACACCCTGTTGAATTCTGAAATGTCTGAGGAAAATAAGCATTTAAGGTGACAACGAGAAATTATGGGTGAGATTGGAAGAACCCCTTTCAGCATGTTGCTGGTATGTGGAGTAATGTGCCAGCTCTCCTTAAGTTTCCAAGGTGTGCCAAGTGACCTTAAGGGTGTGCTGGTGATAGAGGTCTTCTTCCTTTCAAACAATGGCCCAGCCAGTGGCTACTGATGATACTGGAGATCCACAAAGGAAATAGAGAAATTAGTGTGAACAAACATAGGCAAGGCAGCAGTGTAAATGAGGCAGGAGAAATTTCAGACAGACATAAGAAAAAGACATGTGAGAAAATATGTGCTTCAGAGACAAATTTGCTAAACCAGGATTGCACAAGGCATAGGTCCTTCCTCTGTTCTTGAAAACATGAAATTGAATAGGAGGAATTCTTTGAACCTTACTTAAAAAATTAAAAATTCTTTAAATTCTAATGAGGTATGGTATTATAATTACTTGTTATTCATGGTAAAGCAATACTATCAATGCTAAAAGTGAGAGTCTGTTATTGTACAAAGTGTGTCTGGAGAGTGCAAATGTTCTTGGTCTCAGTGTTTGCCCACTGAATAGAAAAAACAGGTGCAGGATTGGGAGAAAGGTTTATGAAACATGAGGAGAATAAACACATTGATCCGAGCCAAGTCATGGGTTGAGAGGTGTTTCCTCACCCATATAAAGGAAAGGTAGGGACAAAAAAATTTCTTGGGCAGACACAGGCAGACCCTTTTCTCGGGAAAAGACAGTTGTGTGGTGTTGAACGCTGGGGTAGCACATGGGTGTCAGCATGGTTTAGATAAAAAACCTTCATCTAGGCCTCCTGAGCTGCATGGTCACCTCATGTCAGCATGTACAGTAATAACCTGCACTGGAAATCAATGGGGAACCTTCTTAGAAACGCCTTCATGCAGAACAGCAGAAGGAAAATTAAATAACTGTGTAATTTCTGTGCAGTTCTTCTCCGAAATGGAGTTTTCTCTCAAGGTAACCTCTGCTTCTGTTATCACCTTCATTCTGGGTAACTGACTTTGCCACGACTGGTGTTTTGATTTGTCTCCATTCTTCCTACATTATGTCTCTCAATTTACTGCCACTGACATCAGATTTCCAAGTATTTTTGGTGTCATTCCAAATCCCCAAGTGTGACAGTATCCTCAACACTTCATACACTGCCTCTTTCATTTTCTGGCATTTCATGCTTTCCCTCAGCACAGTCAGTCTTTGGGCTGCCATGTCCATGAAACCAGAAGCCGCTGTAACTCCCTTAATCACTGCTGTATTACAAGAGGGGTAGAAAAGGCACTGGGGGTGAGGCAACAAGAATGCTTCTTTTACGTTCTTCCTGTCTGTCTACTGGTTTATGCTCTATATTTCAGCTTCAGAGATGCTAGAGCAGAGAGGCCAGGACATGGAATGGGTTCTGTCTTAATCCCTCTTCTTCTGATCTCAACTTCTGTTCATGATTCAGTCAAATGCCTGAGATTTTAACTAATAACCAAGCCTGGATTCTCCATTTCAGGGGAATCCTGGGTCCGGCGTGTTTCAGTTTACTGCAGCAGTAGCCCACCTCCTGTTCACTGGTGTTTCTACTCTCTTCCTTTCCAGAGTCTAAAGCAAGCTGCAGATTAGGTCGGTCTGCATCCACATCAGGTGTGCCTCCTCCCTCCGTGACACCGCTCAGGCAACCCAGTGACCTTCAGCCGAGCCAGGTACCATCGTTAGCCAATCGTGAATGACTCCATGTGCTGCAACATGCCAAATGTTTCTCACCTCTGTGTCTGTCATCTGTTACAGTAAATGGTTTCTTTGGGTTTTTGTCTTTATTTTCTGTGCTCGTGCGTGCATCTGTGTGTGCGCATCTCCCATTGGCAATGAAATTCCACTGGCCACAGCCAGCAGAATTTTCTTTGCTCTTAATTCCTTATATCTTTTTCTGTCTTCATTCTGTAATATAAATGTAGTAAAACTGTACTGTATGAACTGTCTGGGCTTTTTATTTTCTCATGTTTTCTGTACTTTTTTACTGTCTTGAAATTTATCAAACTTTGATAAATTTAATTTATGTTTTTATGTAAATTTCTTTTAAATGTCTTGTCTGGAGCACTTACACCAATGTTTGTCAATGACTTGTACATACTTGACTTCTGCTCAGTTATACTTTAATATTTGTGCCAGTCTCACATTTGGTTGGAGCTTAATGCATGATTGTATTACACTGTGATTTATCACTGTCCTGAAAACTGCTCTTAGAGCAAGTGATTTTGTTTAGTTAAGGCAGCTAGCCTCTCTTCAGCTATAGACCATGTAATGCTTACAGGACTATTAAATAGTCCACTGTAGTTATATTTATTGTATATTGTTAGGAATCAGAAAAACTAATCAAAGGGGCAACATCTCCTTTTATCTTAAACAGAGATACTTTTTTTTCCTCATCAGAAACAAAACTACCACACAGAAAGAAATAGAAATGTTTGGGTTTGGCAAGTTTCTCCAATAGAGAGAAAATGGAAAAGAAATAAAGACACGGGAAACCTATACTTACCTTTATTTTATATGCTAATACTGATATTGTAACATTTTGTTGCACAGACCTGTATTATTAGTTTGACAGAACTAACTGAGAGTAGCAATTGAGAGAAGAGGTTTCGCTTAAAAGTAATGTGAATGCCTTCTGTCAAAGCACTCTGGTATCACATCACTCGTGTGTGCAGGCCCTCACATCACTGCGTACGTGGGGGGTGTATGTGTGCACAAGGACACAAGAACATATATGTATTTATGTGCACATGCATATATGTATATGCACACACACAGGCACTCTTATTTAGATGGCGAGTTTCCAGGGAATTAGTCCCCAAAATCCTACTGAACGTCTGTGAGGTTTGAGTGGGAAACTCCCTGAGGTCTGCTTTGCAATAATCACATATTTGCATTGTTTGGAGCTGGGCCAGTTGCTTCTATAAGCAACTTGACCAAAGTAAAGACCATAAGAGTAAGGTTGATTTACTCACTCCAGACAGCCAGCTACTTGTTAGGAAGGTAATATTCGGCCAGCCTAGTCCATAGAGGTTACCATTCTGTAACCTGTATGAACTGATGCTATTGTATTACTTCTGAGCCCTGCCGGACACGAAGCCTGACAGAACCATGCACGTTTCTAAAGCATATTGTACATAAGCAAATCAAATCCATAATGGAGATTCAAAGTGATGGCCCATTTAAATAACATGTCAAGCGTTCCTTCATCTGAGGAAGAAATTAGGGTAATTGCACTTCCAAAGGTTTTCAGTGTCCCAGTGTTCATGTAGTATATATTTTTGATTAAATGGGTCTTACAGTGGAGATGATGCTTTGCTGTTTACTCAGTGGGAAAGGCACCTTGGGTGTTTTGAAGGGATTTCAGTCTCTCATTTATACTAAGAACTAAACAATAAGCCTTGAAAGCAGAAGTTGATGTGATAGAAGAGATAATGAGCCTTTTAGAAGCTGTGACCAGAGTTCACTGAAGCTGTGGAGGGAAAATCCACCTCAATTCATACAGAAGAAAGGAACAAAGATGATAAGAGGAATTTTCAAGTGACCGTAGGAGGGTGATCTTGTTAATTGAATAATGTATGGTATGGTCATGACTTCGTGAAAAACAAGAAAAACTAGTGCAAGTTTTCTCTCCTTAAGTCTTCCCTTCAAGCTGACAATATCTTACAGTCCATCTATTATGTTGCCATTTGTTATGATAACATCATTTTTAAAGGTGTTGATTTAACCTTGATTTCAGTGGAATGGCAGAAGTCCGAATATCTCCAGGGCAGATAAAAACATTACTTTGACTGTACTCTTTCAACACCTATTCCATGTTAACGAGCAAATAATCTGTGATGGGTGAAATGTGTTTCAAATGGCTGGGTTGTTAGCCCATCCTCAATCTGACAGATTGTGGCATACAGGGTATCTATTTTCGTGTGCTCTGGCTATTGATTGTATTGATACTGGTTTCCCTAACCACATTGTAATGAGCAGTTAGACTTTCCAAAAGATTAAAAGGATTTATTGTGTTATCCACCTCTTTGTCGATCAGATGGATGCAGCAGACATTCATACAGGGATTCAAGATCTGGGAAGGGCAGATGACTGTGAATTGGTTTTCTCAAATCTTCATGGATACCAAACTGATGGTTTTCAGAATGTTTAATTTGGGGAAAACGTTTTGGAACTGAATTCTCAAAGCCCATTTTTTTAAAAACAACAATTCAAAGAAGTGATGAGGATGTTTAGTAACTAAAATAGATTTGATCTAAGGAAACCTATATTATATTCCAATCAAATATTGGCTAACTATGTAACTATTGACATTAAATCCCCTATGCCTTATTTTCTTATTTCTTGTTTGCTTATTGGTGTAGGAATTGTGAGGAGTAACCAGTGAGTATTCACAGAACTTATTTGTGGTGTATTGATGGTAAGCATTAGAGGGATTACTTATAAATAAAAAGAAAGGTCTTATGATCAGAGAAGAATTATGTAGCTGGTCTCTGATGGACAATACTTTAAAAATTCTGTAGGTAGTATCAGAGAACAGTTACCAACATGCTGAGCCAGACAGAGAGCCTGCCATTCTGTCCTTAGTTCTGGGAAATGGGGAGAGTATTTGGAAAGAACTGGCTGCAGGAAGCAGCCTTGGATGAAATCTTGAATTGTCTCAATTTAAACTGAAAGAAAAATGTAAGTTTATCTTGGAACTGAATTTATTGATTGTGAAAGGACAAAGTTTAAGAAGTTAAGGAAGTAGCAGAGGAAGTCAGGTGGGGAGCTTGGAAGTGTAGTATGGCAGAAGCATGAAACACTTTTGAGCTACAAAAGTAGCATATAGCCGTATTTCCTAACATTCTTAATATAAATATTCTAAAGAGAGGAGTTTAAGTAGCAGAGAAGCATTCTAGATATCACCTATTGCCTTGTAAAGAAAGGAAAGGAGGAAGAAAATGTTAAAGGCGCAGGAGCAGGTCATGCTCATGTGCCAAACGATGAGCCAATGGGGAAGATGACCTGCCTATCTGAACAGAGTTTTAGCTGGAATTCAGGAAAATAGGAGAGTTTATGAAGTTTTAAAGAAGAGAGAGGCAACTCGGGAGGAGAAGGGTGTCATGAGGTTATGCAGGGAAAAAATCAGAAGGGCCAAGGCCCAACTAAAACTTAATCTGTTGGCTGCCATAAAAGACAATAAAAAATGTTTCTGTAAATACATTGGAAACAAAAGGAAGGCTGAGAAGAATCTCCATCCTTTATTGACTGTGGAAGGAATCATAGTGACAAAGGATGATGAAAAGGCTGAGGTATTTAATGCTTTCTTTGCCTCAGTGTTCAATAGTAAGACCTGCTGTTTTCTGGGTACGAGCCCCCTGAGCTGGAAGGCAGGGACAGGGAGCAGGATGAAGCCCCCATAATCCAAGGAGAAATGGTCAGTGAACTGCCATACCACTTAGACACACACATTAGGATACAGTGCGTTTATATTAGGAAAAATTTCGTCACAGAAAGAGTTGTCAAGCAATGGAACAGGCTACCCAGAGAAGTTGGGTCCCTCCTACCATCCCTGGAGGTATTTAACAGATGTGTAGATGTGGCAGGGGACATGGTTTAGTGGTGGACTTGGCAGTGCTGTGTTAATGGTTGGACTTCATTATCTTAAGGCATTTTATAACCTAAGTGATTCTGTCAATCTATAAAGATTCCCCGGTGTTCACAGAAAGCTTACAGGGAATGGAAAAATACTCTAGAAAGTACAACAAGTTATATCTTAGAGATAAGAAATGTCTGACTAACATTAGAGTTAGTAAAAGTCCATTTGTGTTTGGCCTTTATATGGGAATGAAAACAGTCTTTTTTAGCCAAGTAACAGTCTTTTGTAGCCATCTAAGTGGATAGAGAACAGTAGAATTTAACCATATGTGAGGTTTATAAAGTACAGTAAACATCATGGTCCACAGATGCCCCAATAAATAACTGCTCACCCATATTGCTGGAACCTCTGTGTTGGTGCCTGAGGCTTCTGTACCAAGTATGGTCAGGTGTTTGCCCCTGCAGTGGTATATGCTCAGTCCCGTCAGGGGACCCCCACAGTGAACAAAACTGTTCACTTGCGTAAAGCAAGCAGGATTTGGAGTCACAGGCATCACTGTGATACAGTTTCCTTGGCATCCTATCATTCTTCACAACATCACCTCAGGGTAACAAAGGATTACATTCTGTCGATGGGCTCAGACGTCCCTGTCGCACACGGGATTCGTGTGCACTGAGCATGTCTGTCACAAAAGAAGAAAGTGTTGCAAGCAAGCTGGGCTGTGGAAGTCCCTCTGCTGGAGAGCAGAGCATCTCACATCCAGAGTTCTAATGTACATAAAATCATCTCTAGGTCACTACCATGCTTCTCTAAAACAGTCTTCAGCACAGCAAAAAACCCACTGATTTCCCTTTTAAGAAAAAAGAGATGATATAACTAATATGGATTTTTTTCTGCAAATGAATTTGCAGAAAGTGAGGTTCATTTTCATTAAGATGTAGACAGTGATTGGAAAATCCCATGTACTAAGCTGCATAGCAGCACAGTAGTGCATGTTTATAACAAAGATCCATGGCCTGAAGGAAAACACACTCTTTGAAAACAAAACTGCTGATAGCTAGAGTTTGGTATTTAAGCTTGTCTGCAAAGCAG